CAGAAGCTTCTAAAGCCATGACATCATTTTCTGGAATTTTCCAAGCTGTTTAAAGGCACAGTCAACTTAGTGTAGGTAAACGTCTGAGCCACTGGAATTGTGATACACTGAATTATAAGTGAAATAATCTGTCTGTAAACAATTGTTGGAAAAATTACTTGTGTCACGCACAAAGTAGATGTCCTAACCAACTCGCCAAAACTATAGTTTGTTAACAATACATTTGTGGAGTGGTTGAAAAACGAGTTTAAATTACTCAAATTTAAGTGTATGTAAACTTCCGACTTCAACTGTACAAATTACCTCAACTAACCTGTGCCCCCGCACATTGACTCTGTACCGGCACCCCCTGTATATAGCCTTGCTACTGTTATTTTACTGCTGCTCTTTAATTATTTGTAAATGTCTTATTTTTACTTATCTATTTTTTACTAAACACTTATTTTTCTTAACTGTATTGTTGGTTAAGGGCTTGTACGTAAGCATTTCACTGTTGTATTCGGCGCCTGTGACAAATTACATTTGATTTGTTATCGTCTCCTTTGCTCCTGTTAGAACTGTATGTTGCTGGGGGGCAGGAAGAATACTGAGGTTCCATTGGAGGGCTACCTGGTCGCTCCCATTCAGAGGATCTGCAAGTACCCACTGCTGCTCAGGGTAAGTCCTGTATGGCCCCATCTGGATCACAGCTTCTCCTCGTCCTTCTTGTTTCGTGATCATCAGAGCCGTCCTGTCTTATTCATCTAAGCCTCCCTCTTTATGAAACGCTTGGTTGTCACATACTGCACACACACACACACACACACACACACACACACACAGTCGCTTATTTTCTCCAACAACAGGCAGACAGTATTAGGCACACCAGCCTTAGCAGCACATGCCAATGCCCCGGACTCACACAAATCCACTATCCCCAGCCTATACTTCACTCATACTCTCTTCATAGTCGATGTTTACCTTAGCCCATGTTAAAAGTGTGTGTGAAACAAAACACTGTTTCAAACGCTGTTAGGGTCCTGTGCTGTCTACCTTCATTAGTCTAGTTTAGATCTATGAATTCACACGGAGTGTAATCTAAACAGCCACCGGCATGAGAACCTAGATGGTAGATGTAACAATAATCTGAGGCGTAATCTGATTCTCTGTCATTTGAAGTCTTACAGCTGGAACTGCCCAGGCGATCTCTCTCAGTTTTCTTCTGAAATGGCACCCTATTCCCTATGTAGTGCACTACATCCCTATGGGCCCTGGTCAAAAGTAGTGCCCTACATAGGGAATAGGGTGCTATTTGCGACTCAACCTCAGTCTCCCTGTGTAAATAGCTGAGATAGAGATCGCTGGTTGTACAGTAGAAACTATCCAGAGAACCTAGACCTTAACAGCCATCAGTAACTGACAGGCTAGGACTGTGTGTTTAGACAAGACAGATTTCCATCTCCTCCACCAGAGTGTCATGCAGTAGCCGGTAGTGATGTGCAGTTCGCAAACGATTCGTTCTTTTTTAACTACACTTTTTACTGACTCGAGAGTCATGATATTTTTTCCGAGTGACTCGTTCATTTTAGTTGTTTGTTTTGACCTGCTGGCGGCAATGAATTCTACAGCAGGAGTAATACGCGCTCCTTTGGAGACGTGCGCCGACCAACAATTTTCTATCATATATGCGAGCAGAAAAGTAGATCATGCTGCAGGCAGCGTAGAGGGCAAAAAGATATGTGTAGAACTGATCATTGATCGCATGGTGCAAAAATGAATGCAATCAATCGATTATTGAATGTTATCGATGGACACAGCTTTGTAGAACCAAAACATACACACCCTGCCTCTGCTCAACACTCGAACGAATCGTTTGGGTGGCTGCTGAAGTTCGCGAACTATAGTCTATTGGACAAATCTCCCTTGAGGCAGTCAATCAATTGCATTCCGTTCACAATGTAGTCCGGTTGCGGCCGCAACTAGACTTCGTTTCAAAGGTATCAATAAATAATCGTATTTGTTTGCCTAGCGATCACAAATTACATTACTGACTCAAATGAACCAAATTAGTCTAGTCCAGGGGTGTCAAACTCATTTTAGCTCAGGGGCCACATGGAGGAAAATCTATTCCCAAGTGGGCCGGACCGGAAAAATCATGGTATATATAACTTAAAAACAACAACTTCAGATTGTTTTCTTTGTTTTAATACGATCAACATACAACATAAAGCTGGAGCCTGAGGACAGTGTGTCCAAAATAGTACAAGCACAACATCACTATTAATCATAAAACACATCAAGTTTATTTGAAAATTCTAAAGAAAAAGAACACACAAACACATAATGCCTCAGTGATTAACAGAACTGTTTCACAGATCACATAACTATATCAGGGTGTCATTTCTCAGGCAGAAATGTAGATAAAAATAATGAAATCCTGTTCCCCAAACAAGTGCAAGAACCACAGAGTCAAGAATAGGTTAAATATACAAATAAAATAAAATCAATTAAAAATAATAGCACATCAACATAAAAACATATAAACATAAATCTGAAAGCGTTGCTCAAACTCCCGTAACAGTCCCGTTATTTTATCTTTGAACCGCTTCATGTCTGCCACATGTTGGGTCGCGCACACATTTTTCAGACAGGGGAAGTGAGCTGCATCACCACCGGCAAGTTGCGTCTCCCACAATGACAGCTTCAACTTGAAAGAACGTATGCTGTCATAATACTGCGTGACAACTTTGTTGCGCCCTTGCAGCTGTTTGTTCAAGTTATTCAGGTGCTCTGTAACATCCACCATAAATGCAAGGTCCTGCATCCATTCTGCGGAATGAAATTCTAACACTGGTTTGCCCTTTTCTTCCATGAACTGTTCAATTTCTTCTCGTAAATCAAAGAAACGCCTCAGCACAGCACCTCGGCTTAACCATCTTACCTCAGTGTGGTATGGCAGGCCATAGATGTGGTCTTTCTCTCTGAGAAGGCTGTCAAACTGACGGTGATTCAGGCTTCTAGATCGGATGAAATTAACAGTTTGGATGACCACCTTCATGACATTATCCATCTTTAATGACTTGCAACACAAAGCCTCCTGGTGCAAAATACAGTGAAAAGTCAAAAAATCACGTCCTCCATTTGCAGATTGCACTTTCTCTCTGAACTTTGTCACAACGCCTGCTTTTTTCCCGATCATTGAGGGCGCACCATCTGTAGCCAGGCTGACAGCGCGGGACCAGTCCACTCCGACCCTGTCCAGCGCGCCGACGAGTGCGGTAAAAATATCAGCTGCTGTCGTTGTATCTGTCATCGGCACCAACTCCACTAACTCCTCGGTGACGGTCAATGTGTCATCAACTCCGCGGATGAAAATGGCCAGTTGTGCAACATCTGTAATGTCCGTGCTTTCATCAATTGCAACTGAAAACGCAATAAATGACTTTACTTTTTGCTTCAACTGGCTGTCCAAATCCACTGAAAGATCGGAAATCCTGTCTGCAACTGTGTTTCTTGTCAGGCTGATATTTGCAAAAGCCTTCCGCTTTTCAGGGCACACAATCTCCGCTGCCTTCATCATGCATGTTTTTACAAATTCACCCTCACTAAATGGTTTTGAAGCCACTGCGATTTCATTAGCAATGAGGTAGCTAGCTTTCACTGCAGCGTCACTGATGTCTCGGCTGTGAGTAAACACAGACTGCTGTTTCTTCAGACCCGCCAACAGTTCATTCACCTTCTCTCATCTCCGCTGTCCTTGAAAGTTGTCATATTTGTCGGCATGAAGACTCACATAGTGGCGACGAAGGTTATATTCTTTCAGCACTGCAACATGCTCTGAACACACCAAACATACAGCTTTCCCATTCAATTCAGTGAATAAATAGGATGACCATTTTTCTTGGAACACTCTGCACTCTGCGTCCACTTTTCTCTTTTTTGACAGAGACATATTGGGGCAATGAGGGTGCCAAAGCACATAATGTTAAAAGTAGAAGCCGTAATAAATATGGCGGGCAAAACGAAGTAGCTCATTGGCTGCACGTGCTTGACCTACTTGCTCTGCCCCGGTATAAACAGTTTGCTTGCTTAACACAATTGCTATTGCGCCATCCAGTGGACGCAATTGGAACAGCAGTTTATTTTATTGAAAAATTGCAGCGCATTTTTATACTTTACAAAATTATTATTATTATTATTATTATTATTTATATATTTTTTCAAAATCATCTCGCGGGCCGGATTAAACCCGTTTGCGGGCCTGATCCGGCCCGCGGGCCGGACGTTTGACACCCCTGGTCTAGTCGTTCTTTTGACTGAACCAGTCGAAAAGATCAGAGCCAGTAAAAAGAGCCGACCTTCCCATCACCAGTAGTCGGCCGATCCACCAGGCTATTATATATCTAACTGTTATGTAACAGTTTACTGTTTTGTAGAGTACAGTGGGGCTATGGAGATATCTAGCGATCGAGAGATAGCGACGTCCGGAGAGAGAGAGTCAGCGCTCTATCGATAGATAGAGCGGCGAATATGCGGCGGGAGACAGACGAACCATGGGTGTTTGGTTTCTGGGGGGGGAGAGATGATCTATATCTCTCGCTCTCTCGCTCATCTATCTTCTCTCTCTCTTCTATCTCTGCTCCTCTCTCTCTCTCCTGGGATATTAGTCTGTTATGTACTGTAAATCAAAGAGAACTGTTCAGCGGAAGGAAGGGAGGGAGAGTGAGTGGGCACATGTAGTAGGGGAAAGTTGCTGTTGCTGCATGTTTCCCACATCTTTTTTCCAAAAAGACAAAAAGGGTTAACCTTTGAATATCTATCCTCACCAGGCTTTTCAGATTTGCCTATGCTGCTCTCTGATCTGTGCGCGCGCGTGTGTGTGTGCGTGCGTTCGTGCATGTCTTTGTGCGTGCCTGCGTACGTGTGTGTGTGTTTGTGTGTGTTTGTTTGTGTAGGAGCTGCTAAAGAGGACGCCTAAGAAACACAATGACTACTCCCTGGTGCTGGAGTCTCTGCAGGTCATGAAGGCTGTCTGTTCCTCCATCAATGAGGCCAAGAGACAGATGGAGAAACTAGAGGTGCTGGAGGAGTGGCAGTCCCACATCGAAGGATGGGAGGTAGGTTCACATGTACTCTACAATACACCATACTGGCTAGTACCTATAGACTTAGGGTAGTGGAGGAGAAACTAAAGGTCCTAGAAGAGTGGCAGTCCCACGTCGAGGGATGGGAGGTGGGTTCACATGTACAATACAATATACTATATAGTACACCATATTCAGATCCCACCGATGCCCACATCCCCTTTAAGACTTGCTGAAGCCAACTGTGAAAAAGAACATTCCTACTTTAAAATCAAAGTACTGCTATGAACCTGATGATGATTAGAGTAGTCACCTTAAAGCGTGAGAGGATTTAACAAGATGGTTGGTCCGGCCAGGCAGAAACTATTGGGGTATGTACTGTATGTGTGAATATTACAAAACATTGTTTGGCAGGGAATTTACTTCACATTCACCAGGCCTCGGCCGGCGATAGTTTTCTAAATTCATGCTACCAATCAAGTCTTAAAGGGGATGTGGGCATCGGTGGGATCTTAATGGTGCTGATTGTATGTCAGGGGCCTGGCGCCTGGGCTTCTTATGAAATGTACTTGGCTTAACACTGCGTCCCAAATGGCACCCTATTCCCATATTATAGTGCACTACTTTTGACCCGGGCCCACCCATAGGGCTCTGGTCAAAATAAGTGCACTTTATGGGGAATAGGGTGCCATTTGGGATACATACAGAGAGTGACAGAGAGTGCCCAAGACATCGATCATCCAGTGCTGAAAGAAGGCTTCTTAACAACACTAGGCCCTTGTCAGCTTAAGAGTCAGCTTAATTTTGAAGAGTCATGTTTTGATGACCATGATTTTGATCAGTTATGATAAAGATGGCTGTGGTTTAGATCAGTTATGATAGAAGATGGATGTGGTTTTGATCAGTTATGATGGAAGATGGCTGTGGTTTTGATCGGTTATGATAAAGATGGCTGTGGTTTTGATCGGTTATGATAAAGATGGCTGTGATTTTAATCAGTAATGTTAAAGATGGCTGTGGCTTTGATCGGTTATGATAAAGATGGCTGTGGTTTTGATCAGTAATGTTAAAGATGGCTGTGGTTTTGATCAGTTATGATAAAAAACGGTTCTAGGTTTTCCAGATCTGTCTAGAGAGGTCAGCTCCGTGCCTCTGTGTTGTTTTATGGGACTTGTTGACAACGGAGTGTGTTGTTAGAGTGTAAACTGTGAATGCAGGCCTGCCAGGCTTTCTGGGTTGCATCCCAAATGGCACCCTATTCCCTATATAGTGCACTACTTTTGATCAGGGACCATAGGGATTCCCATTGGGCTCTGGTCAAAAGTAGTGCGCTATGTAGGGAATAGGGTGCCATTTGGGACTCAGCCCTGGTGCACAACAAAACACACCACAGAATCAGAAACAGTTGGATAATCTTTTATGAGCAAAATGTAACTGGAATGTCTTCTTATAAAAGACAGATGCAGCCTGAAATAAAATTATCGTGACTCAGATTCATTTCGTTTTTTCTTTTGTGGACGGATGCAGACACATTTTGACACTGGCTTAATCTTTCTGCCCTGTTAAACCCATTTAGCAGGAGAGGGACATTCTAAACGTTTACGTTTGCGGCCGAGCTAACTTTGTCATACAAACCTCTATATGAGTCCCAAATGGCACCCTATTCTCTTTTATAGTTTACTACTTTTGACCAGTAGTGCACTATATAGGGAATAGGGTGCCATTTGGGACACACACTCTCTGAAGGACTGAAAGGAAGTGAACTTGATGAGACTCAAACTGTTTGTAAGACATGGTGTTCTAGCCCAGGGACAATCTCTTCGGTCTTTAACACAACAGGTTTTTTATTAAGCACGGACTGACCTCTTGGAAGAGAACCCAAGTGTCTGGTTTAGCCTTTAGAGGTTCTGGTTCGTCAATGGCTATTTGTCAGAGTGTTACTGCAAATTGGGAAAATAGCAGCTGAAACACACACACACACACACACACACACACACACACAAAGAAACTAAGAAGTGTAATGTGTAATCAGGAAAAGGGTGGAGGAGTGTGACATTTGCACGCCATGGTCTTAGAGAGCACAAGCTGTTCTCTGGTTTCCTCAATAGCTTTTATTAATGATAAACATTAGGTAATTCTGGAGCAGGTCACTACTCTACACGCCAGACACTGTTCTCTATTAGATGGGCCTAAGAGAGAAGAAAACTGGAAAGCAGAGAGAGAGGGATAGACAGAGCGAAAGAGAGAGGGGAGCAGATTGAGAAAGAGAGGGAGAGGGGAGAAATAGAGAGAGACCAAAGACAAAGGCAGAAGGAGGAAAAGGCAGAACAGAGAGAAGGAGAGAAATGTCCAGGGAGAGATCGTTGGTGTCTTGTGTTACTATGTGTGGGCGTTTAAAGAATGAACAGAAAGGATGGAGGGATGAGGGAGGAGGGAAGAGTGCGAGCCGAGGGCCTCAGTAAGTTTTTCCTCTGTCGCTTCCAGGTCGCGGCTGATAGCTCATTAGTGTAGAACCTTCTCCACATCTGTGTGCCCTCGGGTCACCATGGCAGCCAGGTTCACCGCCTTGCCGTGGGAGAGACAGTTCATCTGCATCCCAAATGGCACCCTACTCCCTAAGTAGTGCACTACTTTTGACCAGGGCCCATAGTGATTCCCATAGGGCTCTGGTCAAAAGTAGTGCACAATATAGAGATAGAGTGCCATTTGGGACGCAGGCAGGGCAGGGCGAGGGACCACAGTGGTTGGCTGCCAGCGGTTGCCACGACGATGATTGCCCATTGGTCAAGGCTTCTATGTCTGTACTGTGTCACCCGGTCTCTTGGGTCTCAGTTTGGAAGTGGTAAAAGTTATGTCCAAAACCCGAAAACTTAAAGCAGACATTGAATATCCCTTTGATCATGGTGAAGTTATTAATTATACTTTGGATGGTGTATCAATACACCCAGTCACTACAAAGATACAGGCGTCCTTCCTAACTCTGTTACCGGAGAGGAAAGAATGTGCTCAGGGATTTCACCATAAGGCCAATGGTGACTTTAAAACAGTTACAGAGTTTAATGGCTGTGATAGGAGAAAACTGAGGATGGATCAACAACATTGTAGTTACTCCACAATACTAACCTAATTGACAGAGTGAAAAGAAGGAAGGCTGTATAGAATAAAAATATTCCAAAACATGCATCCTGTTTGCAACAAGGCACTAAAGTAATACTGCACAAAATGTGGCAAAGCAATTAACTTTGTCTTGAATACAAAGTGTTATGTTTGGGGCAAATCCAATACAACACGTTACTGAGTACCACTCTCCATATTTTCAAGCATAGTGGTGGCTGCATCATGTTATGGGTATGCTTGTAATCGTTAAGGACTGGGGAGTTTTACAGGATAAAAATGGAATGGAATGGAGCTAAGCACAGGCAAAATCCTAGAGGGAACCTGGTTCAGTCTGCTTTCCACCAGACACTGGGAGATTAATTCACCTTTCAGCAGGACAATAGTCTAAAACACAAGGCCAAATCTACACTGGAGTTGCTTACCAAGAAAACAGTGAATGTTCCTGAGTGGCCAAGTTACAGTTTTGACTTAAATCTACTTGAAAATCTATGGCAAGACCTGGAAATGTTTGTCTAGCAATGATCAACAATCAATTTGACAGAGCTTGGATAATTTTTTAAAGAATAATGGGCAAATATTGTAGCACAATCCAGGTGTGGAAAGCTCTTAGAGACTTACCCAGAAAGACTCACAGCTGTGATCGCTGCCAAAAGTGCTTCTACATAGTATTGACTCGGGTGTGAATACTTATGTAAATGAGATATTTCTGTATTTCGTTGTCAGTACATTTTCAAAAGTTTCTGAAAACATGTTTTCACTTTGTCATTATGGGGTTTTGTGTGTAGATGGGTGAGAAAAAATAAATATATAATCCATTATGAATTCAGGCTGTAACACTAAAATGTGGAATAAGTCAAGGGGTATGAATACTTTCTGAAGGCACTGTATGCTGTTTCTCTCTCTTTCTCTTTCTCTCTCTTTCACTCACTCGCTCGCTCGCTTTCTCTTATTGTATTATGCCTGGCACTCCTCTGACAGTTAAAAGAGGGGGATGAGAGTTAGATGAAACAGACCATAGACTGTGGAGTGTTGTTTAGGCTTCAGGCCCCACTACTCACTCAATAGCCTCTCTATGGAACAGCTGTGGGCTGGAGAGAGTGAAGAGGGGGGAGAGGAGGAAAGAGCGAGAGAAGACAGGAAAAGGGAGAGAGGTGTATAGTGAGACGAAAGAGAGAGAAATAGACAGAGGGAGGAACAAATACAGAAGTAGTGCACTAAATAGGGTAGCTCAGTTGGTAGAGCACGGCGCTTGCAACGCCAGGGTTGTGGGTTCGTTTCCCACGGGGGGCCAGTATGAAAAATGGATGCACTCACTAACTGTAAGTCGCTCTGGATAAGAGCGTCTGCTAAATGACTAAAATGTAAAATGTATAGGGAGCCATTTTGAAAGCAGACCTGGAGTGTTCTCTCACAGAAAGTGTCTGTAGTGTCTGTTCCAGTGGACAGTAAGTTGAGGATTAGTGTGTAGTCTGGACCGGTGGCGGTGGCATTCAGCTGGTCTGGCCCCCACTGGTAGAAATGAACACCTCATCTTGGCCTTGGGCAAGAAAGAAGTACTCTGAGAAAGATGGAGAAGAGAAAGGAGGGAGTGGAAGGGAGAGGAGGAGAGAGGAGGGAGTGGAGGAGCGAGTTGTTCAAAAGAAAAGAAAGAGAAAGAGAGCGACAAAGATGGATAACATTTACATTTACATTTAAGTCATTTAGCAGACGCTCTTATCCAGAGCGACTTACAGGAGCAATTAGGGTTAAGTGCCTTGCTCAAGGGCACATTTACGTAATTTAGCAGACGCTCTAGTCCAGAGCGACTCACAAATTGATGCATTCACCCTATAGCCAGTGGGATAACCACTTTACAAATTTTTTTTTGGGGGGGGGGGAGCTCTAGAGGGGGATAGAGGTGAGGAAAGAAAGAAACAAGAAAGAGGGGCCAAGGAAAGATTAGAAAGGGAAAGCAAAGAACGTCAGAGACTTGGGAGATGGGAATAGGTCAAGAAAAAGAAGGAGTGGGAGTTGCAATAATCAATGAGAGAGAGAGAGTAGAGAGAGAGGGAGGCTTGGCCCGTGTGGATTCCTCAGCAGGAGGAAATGTTTAGCATAACTTCTGGCTCTGCTCGTTCCGGGAGTTATATTTAGATCTAACAGGCAGGGTTGCTCAAACGCAACATATACAGTGGGGAAAAAAAGTATTTAGTCAGCCACCAATTGTGCAAGTTCTCCCACTTAAAAAGATGAGAAAGGCCTGTAATTTTCATCATAGGTACACGTCAACTATGACAGACAAAATGAGATTTTTTTTCTCCAGAAAATCACATTGTAGGATTTTTAATGAATTTATTTGCAAATTATGGTGGAAAATAAGTATTTGGTCAATAACAAAAGTTTCTCAATACTTTGTTATATACCCTTTGTTGGCGATGACACAGGTCAAACGTTTTCTGTAAGTCTTCACAAGGTTTTCACACACTGTTGCTGGTATTTTGGCCCATTCCTCCATGCAGATCTCCTCTAGAGCAGTGATGTTTTGGGGCTGTCGCTGGGCAACACAGACTTTCAACTCCCTCCAAAGATTTTCTATGGGGTTGAGATCTGGAGACTGGCTAGGCCACTCCAGGACCTTGAAATGCTTCTTACGAAGCCACTCCTTCGTTGCCCGGGCGGTGTGTTTGGGATCATTGTCATGCTGAAAGACCCAGCCACGTTTCATCTTCAATGCCCTTGCTGATGGAAGGAGGTTTTCACTCAAAATCTCACGATACATGGCCCCATTCATTCTTTCCTTTACACGGATCAGTCATCCTGGTCCCTTTGCAGAAAAACAGCCCCAAAGCATGATGTTTCCACCCCCATGCTTCACAGTAGGTATGGTGTTCTTTGGATGCAACTCAGCATTCTTTGTCCTCCAAACACGACGAGTTGAGTTTTTACCAAAAAGTTCTATTTTGGTTTCATCTGACCATATGACATTCTCCCAATCCTCTTCTGGATCATCCAAATGCACTCTAGCAAACTTCAGACGGGCCTGGACATGTACTGGTTTAAGCAGGGGGACACGTCTAGCACTGCAGGATTTGAGTCCCTGGCGGCGTAGTGTGTTACTGATGGTAGGCTTTGTTACTTTGGTCCCAGCTCTCTGCAGGTCATTCACTAGGTCCCCCCGTGTGGTTCTGGGATTTTTGCTCACCGTTCTTGTGATCATTTTGACCCCACGGGGTGAGATCTTGCGTGGAGCCCCAGATCGAGGGAGATTATCAGTGGTCTTGTATGTCTTCCATTTCCTAATAATTGCTCCCACAGTTGATTTCTTCAAACCAAGCTGCTTACCTATTGCAGATTCAGTCTTCCCAGCCTGGTGCAGGTCTACAATTTTGTTTCTGGTGTCCTTTGACAGCTCTTTGGTCTTTGCCATAGTGGAGTTTGGAGTGTGACTGTTTGAGGTTGTGGACAGGTGTCTTTTATACTGATAACAAGTTCAAACAGGTGCCATTAATACAGGTAACGAGTGGAGGACAGAGGAGCCTCTTAAAGAAGAAGTTACAGGTCTGTGAGAGCCAGAAATCTTGCTTGTTTGTAGGTGACCAAATACTTATTTTCCACCATAATTTGCAAATAAATTCATTAAAAATCCTACAATGTGATTTTCTGGAAAAAAAATTCTCATTTTGTCTGTCATAGTTGACGTGTACCTATGATGAAAATTACAGGCCTCTCTCATCTTTTTAAGTGGGAGAACTTGCACAATTGGTGGCTGACTAAATAATTTTTTCCCCCACTGTACATTCCCAACATAGTTGACAAGGTAAGGAGAAGGGCTGTGGAGTTTATCGCAACCTATTCCCTACATAGTGCACGACTACTGCTATGGGCTCTGGTCAAAAGTAGTGCACTATATAGAGAATAGGGTGCCATTTGGGACACAGTCACAGATCCACATGGTGTGACTTGATAGGATGTTATTATATAAATAGTAACGGCTCTATTCTTTAAAGTCCCCAATCAATCTAATACTGAGGATGTGTGTTGAGTTTTTACAGACCCCTTAAGAGAGAAACCAGGAAAGGCATTCACAGAGAAACCATGCACAGTGAATTAAACTCACTACCCAAGGAGCAACTGTGTACTGCAATTTTACACTGTTAGGCATACTGTATGCTACATGTCCGATGTCATGGTGGCTACACAGCAAACCCTCCAGACGAACACAATCCTGCGATCACATAGTTCAACGCATAATCAACCCATAATCAACCATTCACTGCATAATACAGTTGAAGTCGGAAGTTTACATACATAAAACTCGTTTTCAACCACTGCACAGATTTCTTGTTAACAAACTATAGTTTTGGCAAGTCGGTTAGGACATGTACTTTGTGCATGACACAAGTAATGTTTCCAACAATTGTTTACAGACAGATTATTTCACTGTATCACAATTCCAGTGGGTCAGAAGTTTACATACACTAAGTTGACTGTGCCTTTAAACAGCTTGGAAAATTCCAGAAAATGATGTTATGGCTTTAGAAGCTTCTGATAGGCTAATTGACATCATTTGAGTCAATTGGAGGTGTACCTGTGGATGTATTTCAAGGCCTACCTTCAAACTCAGTGCCTCTTTGCTTGACATCATGGGAAAATCAAAAGAAATCAGCCAAGACCTGAAGGTACCACGTTCATCTGTACAAACAATAGTACGCAAGTATAAACACCATGGGACCACGCAGCCGTCATACTGCTCAGGAAGGAGACGCGTTCTGTCTCCTAGAGATTAACGTACTTTTGTGCGAAAAGTGCAAATCCATCCCAGAACAACAGCAAAGGACCTTGTGAAGATGCTGGAGGAAACAGGTACAAAAGTATCTATATCCACAGTAAAACTAGTCCTATATCGACATAACGTGAAAGGCCGCTCAGCAAGGAAGAAGCCACTGCTCCAAAACCGCCATAAAAAAGCCAGACTACGGTTTGCAACTGCACATGGGGACAAAGATCGTACTTTTTGGAGAGATGTCCTCTGGTCTGATGAAACAAAAATAGAACTGTTTGGCCATAATGACCATCGTTATGTTTGGAGGAAAAAGGAGGTTGCTTGCAAGCCGAAGAACACCATCCCAACCGTGAAGCACGGGGGTGGCAGCATCATGCTGTGGGGGTGCTTTGCTACAGGAGGGACTGGTGCAATTCACAAAATAGATGGCATCATGAGGAAGGAAAATTATGTGGATATATTGAAGCAACATCTCAAGACATTAGTCAGGAAGTTAAAGCTTGGTCACAAATGGGTCTTCCAAATGAACAATGACCCCAAGCATACTTCCAAAGTTGTGGCAAAATGGCTTAAGGACAACAAGGTCAAGGTATTGGAGTGGCCATCACAAAGCCCTGACCTCAACCCTATAGAACATTTGTGGGCAGAGCTGAAAAAGCGTGTGCGAGCAAGGAGGCCTACAAACCTGATTCAGTTACACCAGCCCTGTCAGGAGGAATGGGCCAAAATTCACCCAACTTATTGTGGGAAGCTTGTGGAAGGCTACCCGAAACATTTGACCCAAGTTAAACAATTTAAAGGCAATGCTACCAAACACTAATTGAGTGTATGTAAATTTCTGACCCACTGGGAATGTGATGAAAGAAATAAAAGCAGAAATAAATCATTCTCTCTATTATTATTCAGACATTTCACATTCTTAAAATAAAGTGGTGATCCTAACTGACCTAAGACAGGGAATTTGTACTAGGATTAAATGTCAGGAATTGTGAAAAACTAAGTTTAAATGTATTTGGCTAAGGTGTATGTAAACTTCTGACTTCAACTGTATGTGGTGGGTTACATATTTAACAAAGCGCCGCACTATTACAGCAGAAAACTGACAAGGACCAATGGAACGGGTGGATCCCCGGCCTGGTCTAGTAGCCAAGTCTACACAGTATCTACACCACTGTGTGTCTCTTCCCAGGGTTCCAATATAACAGACACGTGTACAGAGATGTTGATGCATGGAGTCCTGCTGAAGATCTCAGCTGGTAACATCCAGGAACGCATCTTCTTCCTCTTCGACAACCTGCTGGTTTACTGCAAGAAGAAAAACAGGTGTGACCGGACTGCCACACCTCTCTCTGACATCTTTGTTTCCCCTTACCATAGGCTTGTACAGATACTTCAAGCAGCACCAGCTACTTTCTATCAATCTCCACTGTGTGTTGTTTCATTAGCCAGAAGGGCACTGTATAGTTCGCTAGCCTAGGTATCTACTTGTTTCTATGTGTTGCCTTGCCTTGTGTGACGAGACAATGTTAAATTGGCTTGAATGTTGTTCCCAGGCGTTTAAAAAACAGCAAGGCGGTTACAGAGGGACCTCGTTACCTGTTCAGAGGGAGAATCAACACAGAGGTGATGGAAGTGGAGAACGTAGATGATGGAACAGGTGAGTTCTACCCGTAACAGGTCACTCAGGGTGTGTCTCAAATGGCACCCTATTCCCTAAATAGTGCACAACTTTTAAACAGCCATTTCAGACGCAACCCTTATCCTATTTCGCAACCCAACTACCATCCAATGCTCGGAGGAAACCCTGAGCTAACAACAAAAGGCATCTTTATTGCAGTATTTCTTCTGTCAAAAGTGGATTCGTTATCTCCATGTACTGCAGACAATCTGCATTTCTTTATGTAGACAATCAATTCAATTTTTAGTGCGGCAACACATTGTTCCCAATTTGCTGTTTGGGAGGAATTGATTTTGTCTCCACGGATCAGAACACATTTATATTATCTTTGCTTCTTACTTTGTACGTCCCAAATGGCACCCTATTCCCTACATAGTGCAGTAATTTTGACCAGGGCACATAGGGCTGTGGTCAAAGGTAGTGCACTATAAAGAGAATAGGGTGTCATTTGGAACTCTGAACACATTTAATAACACATTGTTATTAGGCGGCAGGTAGCCTAGCGGTAAGAGCGTTGTGCCAGTAACCAAAAGGTCGCTGTGTTGAATACCCGAGCCGACAAGGTGAAAAATCTGTCGATGTGCCCTTGAGCAAGACACTTAACCCTAATTTACTCCAGGGGTGCGCCGTACTACTATGGCTGATGCTGTAAAACAACACATTTCACTGCACCTATCTGGTGTATGTGACAATAAAATATGTATTTTTTTATTTTTTCCCAGGAGCACTGAGATCTCAGATCTCTATTTCCTGTTTTGACAGTTAATCAATTCAGAGGGTGAACCAGTCGATCGGGTTAGATACCCTCCCAGCCAACTGTATGAAATGTCAATAAGTGATGGATGAGGAGTGTTTTAATTTACAGCCTACTTAGATTTTATAGTCTACTGCACACAAAGCCATAACACAGTCTACACTCTTAGAAAAAAAGGTGATATCTAGAACCTACAAGGGTTCTTTGGCTGTCCCCATAGGAGAACCCTTTGAAGAACCCTTGTTGGTTCCAGGAGAAACCTTTTTGGTTTCAAGTATAACTGTTTTGGGTTCAGTGTAGAACCCTTTCGACAGAGGGTTCTACCTGGAACCCAAAATGGTTCTACCTGGAACCAAAACGGGTTTTACCTGGAACCAAAAAGGGTTCTCCTATAGGGACAGCTGAAGAACCCTTTTGGTAGCCTTTTTTCTAATAGTGTTGGTTCAAAATGTTGAGATAAAGGAACTAAAGGGACTGTACGTGGAATTTACATTTTAGTCTTATAGCAGACAGTAGTGCTGAGCAATTAACCAACATTTTGGTTATTTTTCAGTTTTTAAACAACTAATTGACCGACGTCGGTTTAATTATTTGAATTCCATTTCGTTAGTTTTTTTTCTGTGCGCTCAATGCGCACATTGCACAGTTTCTCTAGAGATAAATCAGATCCAACCTGAACTGTGCGATGTAGTATAATAATAATAATAATAATAATATGACATTTAGCAGACGCTTTGATCCAAAGCGACTTACAGTCATGCGTGCATACATTTTTGTGTATGGGTGGTCCCGGGGATGTATGGAGTTGTAGTTTCCAACAGGCCAATATTCTACATAGTTTAGCGCATAAAACTTGGTAATTAACTACAATGACCATAATCAATTGCGCATCTACTTGTCCGGTCTGTGTTTCTTTTACGCCTGCTACGGAAGAGACAGACGAATGTGTGATCATGAGGTGATATAGAGAGCAGCTGTTGCTTCGTGAGTTGTCTATTCCTGAAAATACATGATCTAATTGTCATTGTTGGTATTCAGCAGTCATAAAGGTATGCCTTATTTACTTTGAGGAACCACTAAAATAGTGATTTAGTCAGACAGCATAGGCAGCAGCTCTATAGAGATGAGATGATGACTTGGAATGAAATAATAGTCATCAAATAAAATAAATGTAATATACCCAACAATGGAAATATTTTTGTAAAGTAATGTGAATAAATGAGTGTTTATAAGTGATAAGCAGTAGTGGGCAGTCACTACCATCATGGGACTTTTATTAATTGTTTTATTCTGTTGTTACAGCATTCAACCCACATAATGCATAGTGCATTTGATCGACCGACCTCAAAAAGCACTAATCGCTCTGCACTAGCCTTCTCTCTAAACGTATCCCTCCACTGCTAGTTGGCTGATGGTGGGTGGGTCTATTTTCTTACAGCCTTGACAGCTGAAGGTTATACAAATGCCATCTTCCAGGCATGGTGACAAGTCTCTGCGCACACACACACACACTCTCACACACACTCTCTCTCACACACACACACACACACACACACACACACACACACACACACACACACACACACACACACACACACACACACACACACACAACACAGTTAACTCTAGCTGTGTGTGTTGGTCCAGTACAGCCACTCATTATCAGTTAAGTTTTTTAGAAGCAATCATTTCCTCCCCAGCAGACTTAATATTGGGTGTTTTTGGGAGATGGATGGGATTGGGCTTGGATGGGATGGATGGGATTGTAGGGGGGGGGGGGGGGGAACAGGCCCTATAACTGTCTTCGCCACTATACGCCTGCCAAGGCTACCAGTAATATGATAGATTCTAACGCACGGACGCACGCACACACACACACACACACACACTACAGCTTTGTTAGGCCACGGACAGACAGGGGATTCTGCCTCTGTTACACACATGTGCTCCAGAGGATCTAGGAGCAGAGAGGGATAGGATTTGTAAATTCCATTTAATCTCTCCTTCCCTCTGTTTCCGGAAGAATGATGTGATGTTAGCTTATTCTTGCTAAAAGGCCTAGCAGTCAACAAGCATAAACTACTGCAAAACTGTGCAAAGAAAATTGTCATAAATCCTTCAAGTAGTCAACGGAACAAAGGAAGCTGATTTTATTGACGTTCCAGAAGGGAAGTACTCTGGTATTGAGATAATGTGAAATGACCTGAGTTATTCTTGTCGGTTCTGGCACAGGCCTCATCCTGAACCTACTGTGGGATTTATAATGGAGTAGTAATGAGTTAGCTACTACTGCTGTGCTTTTAGCCTGGACTTAATACTATGGCAATGTAGATGACAGATTCCTTTTCTAAATTCTGTATTACATATTCTGTATTCCATATTCCATATTCCGTAATCAGATTCTGTGTTCCACTCTGCTTTGTTTACACCTAAAGTACATCCATTCTTTCATGGATACAGATGCTGAGAGATGGATTGTTCTCTATTTCAAACAAACAGGCTAGAAGAAATCCCAAAACTCAAATAAGACACCAGAGGGCCACAACAGAAGTGAATCTGTTGCTCCAACCCTTTGGACCCTTAGGTTGAGGCACCTTGGTATAAGAGGAGTGAAGGAATGTGGCCGTGTCTCTGAGGCTGCGTCCCTAATGACACCCTATTCCCTATGTAGTGCACTACTTCAACCAAGGCCCATAGAAGTGCACAATATATATGGGAATAGGGTGCCAGTCCTGGTCAATAGTAGTGCACTATGTGGGAATAGGGTGCCATTTGGGACGCATACTAAGTGTGTTGTGTTTGTGTGTCTCTTGGTTTGCAGCGGATTACCACAGCAGCGGGAACATAGTGAACAACGGCTGGAAGATCCACAACACAGCAAAGAACAAGTGGTTTGTGTGCATGGCCAAGACCCCAGAGGAGAAACAGGAGTGGCTGGAGGCTATCCTCAAAGAGAGGGAGAGGAGAAAAAGTTAGTAGTCATATAGTATCTGATACTGTTGGCGTAGTCGTGTGTGTGAGAACCATAATACAACCGAAACGCACCCTATACCCTAAATAGTGCACTCTGTAGGCAATATGGTGCCGTTTGGGAAACCTTAGTGGAAGTCAGTATATCCTCCTATCCAGTGGTGATTTTAGCATGTAAATCTTGGTGGGGCAAACAAACAAAAAATTTGAGGGGATGCATGCCAGCTAAGCCACAGCACAACACTAAAAAATACATGAATTGCACTATAATGGTGACAAACGGTGCCCACAAACTGTTAGGGCCTACATAAAGCTCTCCTAACAGCAGAGTCCCAACAGCAGTCCCAACACCTTACCACTGCTGCCCCTGGCTATCAGCGGAGCCTTGTCTGGCAGCGAAACAGTTCATTCATCCTCATTTACTGCCTTTAAAAAAAAACATGGCTGACTTTAACAAATGTGGTTTCTACTGACAATTGAGATGTACAAACTATGGCATAAGGGGACAACAAGTGGATAAGAGGCAATCCGTAATTTCGATTAAGACAATAATGAGCAAGCTAGGACGGACATAGTCAATATAACTATTTGTTCAGCACTTTTGAAATGTACAGCGACAGAATTCAGAACATGGGCCATTCTTACAATGTTCTCCCTGTTCACCAAGTCAGAACCGTAGCTAAGATTTTTAAAGTATGATGTTGACATGATCAGTCCAATCAAAGTGCCTTGCAAAAGTATTCACCCCCTTTGCTATGAAGCCCCTAAATAAGATATGGTGCAACCAATTACCTTCAGAAGTCACATAATTAGTTAAATAAAGTCCACCTGTGTGCAATCTAAGTGTCACATGATCTGTCACATGATCTCAGTATATATACACCTGTTCTGAAAGGCCCCAGAGTCTGCAACATCACTAAGCAAGGGGCACCAACAAGCAAAAAGCACCATGAAGACCAAGGAGCTCTCCAAACAGGTCAGGGACAAAGTTGTGGAGAAGTACAGATCAGGGTTGGGTCATAAAAAAATTACAGAAACTTTGAACATCCCACGGAGCACCATTAAATCCATTATTAAAAAATGGAAAGAATATGGCACCACAACAAACCTGCCAAGAGAGGGCCGCCCACCAAAACTCACGGACCAGGCAAGGAGGGCATTAATCAGAGAGGCAACAAAGAGACCAAAGATAACCCTGAAGGAGCTGCAAAGCTCCACAGCTGAGATTTTGGAGTATCTGTCCATAGGACCACTTTAAGCCGTACACTCCACAGAGCTGGGCTTTACGGAAGAGTGGCCAGAAAAAAGCCATTGCTTAAAGGAAGAAAAAGCAAACACGTTTGGTGTTCGCCAAAAGACTCCACAAACATATGGAAGAAGGTACTCTGGTCAGATGAGACTAACATTGAGCTTTTTGGCCATCAAGGAAAACGCTATGTCTGGCGCAAACCCAACACCTCTCATCACCCCAAGAACACCATCCCCACAGTGAAGCATGGTGATGGCAGCATCATGCCGTGGGGATGTTTTTCATCGGCAGGGACTGGGAAACTGGTCAGAATTCAAGGAATGATGGATTGCGCTAAATACAGGGAAAGTCTTTAGGGAAACCTGTTTCAGTCTTCCAGTGATTTGAGACTGGGACGGAGGTTCACCTTCCAGCAGGACAATGACCCTAAGCATACTGCTAAAGCAACACTTGAGTGGTTTAAGGGGAAACATTTAAATGTCTTGGAATGGCCTAGTCAAACCCAGACCTCAATCCAATTGAGAATCTGTGTTATGACTTAAAGATTGCTGTACACCAGCTGAACCCATCCAACTTGAAGGAGCTGGAGCAGTTTTGCCTTGAAGAATGGCCAAAAATCCCAATGACTAGATGTGCCAAGCTTATAGAGACATACCCCAAGAGACTTGCAACTGTAATTGCTGCAAAAGGTGGCTCTACAAAGTATTGAGAATAGTTATGCACGCTCAAGTTTTCACAATAAAACATATTTTGCATCTTCAAAGTGGTAGGCATGTTGTGCAAATCAAATGATACAAACCCCCAAAAAATCAATTTTAATTCCAGGTTGTAAGGCAACAAAATAGGAAAAATGCCTAAGGGGTTGAATACTTTCGCAAGCCACTGTAGATATAACGTGATTTGACATCATTTTATCTGTGGCCAATGATCTTGAGCCTTCTTGGATGGGCACGTCTAATGTAACTCTATGACAGCATCCAAGGGGCTTGAATTTAAGAGCCCTATCCTTAGATTTGGCAGTGATGTAGTGTCCCCATGAGTGACAGAACACTGAGCCAATCAAGGCGCAACTAGAGAACATTACCAACCCCTACGCTCCGTATTTTCCGCTGGCTGCCCCACATCCACAGAAAGCGCTGAGCTAGGCTGAAACACCTGCATTTTGGAGCTGCCTTACTCAAGAAAGCAAAAAAGAGACCATGTTTGTATAGAGGGTTTATTAACTCAATGATAAAAAAAAAGGTTTACATTGTTTGCAAAGTGATATGTGACACGTATTAATGCCAAAATAACATGCAAAAACTAGTTTATTTTTATTTAATGTATTTCTTTGCTAAAAATGTGGGGCTCTGCCCCACCTGCACTGAATGACGGGTCGCCACTGCTCCTATCTAAGATACTAGTTGTGGCAGGCACAAGAACTAGACTTGCAGGTAGAATGAATAGACCTGAACTCTTTTCCTAACACAAGATGTCTTCTGTTGAGTCTATTTCTATCCTCTTGCTCCTCTTGCTCCTCCTCCTGCTCCTCCTTCCCCCTCTCTTCCTGCTTTTCCACATGCTCCTCCTCCTCCACCTGCTCCTCCTCCTCCACTGCTCCCCCTGCTCTCCCTCCTCCTTCTCCTCCTCTGCTCCTCCTCCTGCTCTCCCTCCTCCTGCTCCTCTTCCTGCTCCACCTCCTGCTCCTGCTCCTTCTCCTTCTCCTGCTGCTCCTCCTGCTCTCCCTCCTCCTGCTCCTGCTCCTCCTCCTTCTCCTGCTGCTCCTCCTGCTCTCCCTCCTCCTCCTCCTGCCTCTCCTCCTGCTCCTCCTCTCCTGCTGCTCCTCCTGCTCTCCCTCCTCCTCCTCCTGCCTTTCCTCCTGCTCCTTCCTCCTTCTCCTGCTGCTCCTCCTGCTCTCCCTCCTCCTCCTCCTGCCTCTCCTCCTGCTCCTCCTCCTGCTCCTCCTCCTGTAGTGTTTCAGCACCAGGGTATGATATGCCTAACTACTTTAATGTGAGAAGACAAATTAGATGAGATGGATTGATAGAGACAGTATACTATTTCTATATCAGCATACATATACAGATGTGGTCCTATATATTGGTACCCTGGCACTTTACAATGGAGTGCAATGGAGCAGAATGTTCTGTTTTCTCTTTTCAAAACTGGTTGAATGGCTATTTTTACCTTGTAGGCACCTGCTACTTACCACAGTTGAGATACATTACACATAAACAAACCAAATTAATTAGAATTTTGAATAATTTAGTCCATGCCGTTTTTGACTTTGAAGTGAAACATCTAAATTTCAGTTTAGATATGTTTTTCTGTTTTAGTCCTGTGCAGTTATAAATCAAACAATTTCAACTGATTTTAGAAGAAATAGTGAATATTATATTTGACCGCATCTGTACCAATGGGAAACATTACTCCTTTGACTGTCGCCTTCCTTCCTTCCCTCTAGCGTTGAGGCTGGGGATGGAGCAGGACACGTGGGTGATGGTGTCAGAGAAAGGAGAGAAGCTCTATCACCTGATGACTAAGCAGGGACACCTCATCAAGGACAGGAAACGCAAGCTCACCACATTCCCTAAGTGCTTCCTGGGAAGGTAGGAGTCCAATACTTACCTATGACTGATCTCTCTAGCTCTCTCTCTCTCATGCAGGTGTCAGTAGTGGGTGTCTGCGTTTGGGTTTTTCTGTGTGTTTGTGTGTGTGTCTCTCTCTCTCTCTCTCTCTCTCTCTCTCTCTCTCTCTCTCTCTCTCTCTCTCTGTATTTCCTGGGAAGGAAGACCTCCCTCCCTGACCTATAACCTTCTGTTATCCTGACCAATGAGAATTTAAGATTGGTCTGGTGAGTGTTTTGATGATGCGTTTCCTGTGAAGTACAGCGTTTTATGTCTCGAAAATAAGCGTTGCCGTCATTCCAAAAATGTTCACGTGAGCTTCCGAGTTGGACGTCCCAAAGTTGTGGCTGCCACTCACTGTAGCCTACATCGGTTTCCTTTAGGCTACAGTGAGGGGTTTTCTGATGTTCTAAAACCATTCACATGGGCTTCCCCTCTGAGTGGGAAGTCCCCTGGTCTTCAGAGGATGTCTGACAGAGGGCGATGACACTGTAGTGAATATCACAGACTGGATTGGATCACACTATCTACAGTATTTACTACTTATGTACTTGACCTGAGCTGGACTATTGACCTGATTTCTGATCTGGAGAATCATAGAAAAATACATAACCCCTTTTGGTTGCTGGATTATCCAGCTACACACACACAGACACAGACAAAGGCACAGGCAGGCAGGCAGGCAGGCAGGCAGGCAGGCATTAGCTATTTCTATACAGATGACCATTACTATGATACATAGAGTACAGTAGCTACAGTGTGTCTATTGAAAAGCTCCAGTTAAGTGAATAATACCATCTATACCTAATACCTTCTCTCTGAGACCATTATTCCTAAATCTGGATTAGTCTCTCCATCCCTCCTTTCAATTTGAAATCTGTCCAGACTTCTAAAGAAAGAAAGAAGGGGGGAAAGAAACATCAGCGTTTTAGCTGAACAGAGTTCTGTTTACCTGTCATTCAGTCAAGGGGAAATGAAATCCAGCAGGTTTTCACCATGAATCGTGTTTGTGGATTATTGGTTGGCTATGTGCGGGCGGCGGAGTGTGTGAGTGCGTTTGTTCGTTTGTGTGTTTGTGCGTGTGTTTGTGCGTGTGTGTGTTAAATAGAACATTCTCTACCGTAATGTTGTCAAGAATGTCTTTCTTTTAATCATTACTAAAGTAATGCCCTAAAAAAGTGTGTGTGTGTGTGTTTGTGCATGTGTGCAGCAGTGCCATTGCTTGGCCTGTGATAAATCACTGGGAGATATCCCTCTGTGACCTCTGCTGACCACTCTCTCTGTCTGCTCTCACTTGTGCATCCCAAATGGCACCCTATTCCCTATGTAGTGCATTACTTTTGACCAGTAGTGCACTATGTAGGGAATATGTACCATTTGGGACGAAAGGCTCAGAGCCTAGCAGGATTACTGTTAAAGTCTCCTCTGAGAAATATATATGTGTGTGTGTGTGTGTGTGTGTGTATGCGCACGCGTGTTTGTGTGACCAGGCAGTGTGTTAGTGGTCTCATATCAAATGGTTACACTCTCATAACATCTGCCATGTTGAGTTAGGGTTACAGTCTAAACATTTCTGTGTTATCCATTTTCTGTTGATAGGAAATAACTTTAGAAAGGCTGTCCCAAGTAGCACTCTATGGGCCCTGGTCAAAAGTAGTGCACTATATAGGGAATAGGGTGCCATTTGTGATGAAAACCAAAGGCTCTCTCCCCCCAAACTTCTCTTTTAGCAATACTGAATTATGTTGGATGTTTTTAATTTCATTCCTTTTTCAGACAGGATTCACCAATGTAGCTTTAATAATTTATAACATGGATGCTCTACCGTAACATTGTCAACAATGTCGCTCTTTGATCCTTACTAAAGTGATGGCCTAAAAAAGTTCAATCTTCATTGATTACAAACATATAATGGAAAACAGTGCTTGGACTCGAGGCTGTTCAGACAGGATATTTCCAACTTTGATAATGGGTAGCCAGACCATTAGGAGACATACATTGACATTATTTGGTGACTCTAGACTAGCTTATTGATCGACCAGACAGTTTGTGAGTGGACTGAACATAGAATAGCATGACTATAACAGTTAACAAGGGCTTTATAAACTACAAGACTGTCTTTGTGAAAGCTCTGTGTTTTGTCAACCATTTCTAGACATTCAGACTTGTTCTGGTTATATACTGAAATTCTAGACATTATAAAACACAATCGACTGTCACATGCTGTACGAAAAACAGACATCGGTTGAGTCCCAAATGGGACCCTATTCCCTATATAGACCCTACATTTGACCAGAGTCCACGGAGCTGGTCAAAAGTAGTGCACTATATAGGGAATGGGTGCCATTTGGGATGCAGCCTTCAGCTTCAATTAGACAGCCGTCAGTAACAGCTAGCTCCATCTGGTTAAAGCCTGAACAGCATCAATCCAGCCACGCGCCAAATGATGGTGTCACATTCACACTCTCAACGCTTGGCATAGACCCTACAGGGCCATACTGGAGAAACCAGACTGGGTTAAGTGGACTTTAATAAGAGTATCAAATGCTGGGCCTTAGATCTTATTGCAGGTTAGGAGTGTATGGGTGGATATGGAGAGGAGGTGTGGTCTGGAGCGCAGCTAGGCCCCCCCCCCCCCCCCCCCCCCCCCCCCCCCTCTCTCTCTCTCTCTCTCTCTCTCTCTCTCGCTCTCTCTTTCTCTCTTTCTCTCATTCTTTCTCTCTCTTGCTCTCCCTCCCTCCCTCCCTCTCTCTCTCTCTCTCTCTCTCTCTCTCTCTCGCTCTCTCTCTCTCTCTCTCTCTCTTGCTCTCACTCCCTCTCTCACTCTCTTTCTAGTAGAGTGCCTCACAGAGTACTCTGAGATAGGGTGTAAAGTGCTGTCTAACTATAATCTAACTATAATCCAGAGGGTTTTGGGTTTGGAACGGTTCTTTCTCCTTTTACTTAACACTTATTTTTCTTAAAACTGCATTGTTGGTTAAGGGCTTGTAAGTAAGCATTTCACTGTAAGGTCTACACCTGTTGTATTCGGTGCATGTGTTAAATAAAAATGGATTTGATTTGATTTGAGACAATACCAGGTGTGTCCCAAATAGCACCCTATTCCCTATATAGTGCACTACTTTGGATCAGAGCCTTATGATCTGCATACAGTAAATAATACCGGTTCTACAGAGATTCTCTTCAGTGGTTCAATAGTGGTCTAGAAAAGGAACGGTTCTGTGAGCTAGACAGATCAGAAAGATCATACAGGGTGTTCGGAAAGTATTCAGATTCCTTTCCTTTTTACACATTTTGTTACTTTACAGCCTTATTCTAAAATTGATTACATCTAAGACATTTTTGCTAATTTATAAAAAATTTAATACAGAAATACCTTATTTACATAAGTATTCAGACCCTTTGCTATGAGAATCGAAATTGAGCTCAGGTGCATCCTGTTTCCATTGAACATCCTTGAGATGTTTCTACAACTTGATTGGAGTCCACCTGTGGTAAATTCAATTGCTTGGACATGATTTGGAAAGGCACACACCTGTCTATATAAGGTCCCACAGTTGACAGTGCATGTCAGAGCAAAAACCAAGCCATGAGGTCGAAGGAATTGTCCGTAGAGCTCCGAGACAGGATTGTGTCGAGGCACAGATCTGGGGAAGGGTACCAAAACATGTCTGCAGCATTGAAGGTCCCCAAGAACACAGTGGTCATCATTCTTATATGGAAGAAGTTTGGAACCACCAAGAGTCTTCCTAGAGCTGGCCGCCTGGCCAAGCTGAGCAATCGGGGGAGAAGGGCCTTGGTCAGGGAGGTGATCAAGAACCCGATGGTCACTCTGACAGAGCTCCAGAGCTCTGTTTTTGCTTTGTCATTATGGGGTATTGTGTGTAGATTGATGAGGGAAAGAAACAACTTAATCCAATTTTAGAATAAGGCTGTAATGTAACAAAATGTGGAAAAAGTCAAGGGGTCTGAATACTTTCCGAATGCACTGTATATCGGTGATTACTCAGACTTTCAAAAGCCCATATGGTAGAGTACTGAAGTAGCTACAAGCTTCTATGTGTAAGCCCATGAAAGCCCAGTAAACCAATTAAAACCTATCCCACTATATACTAGCCCCTACTTGTGTTGCCTAACACCTCTGTGGACATATTTAAAAGTATTATATATTTGTGGTATGTGTGAGGTAGAGCTGGGTTATATGGACATAAATCCATATCACAATAAATTGACTGAATTATCACGATAACAATACATTTACCAATACGTTTATAACATTAATGTGCACCACAGTAATTTTTTGTATATTACCCTTTCAAAACTACTATTTCCACTTTGAATGTTGTAGCTATCAATTGTCCCATTAACAATGACCCATATTAGCAAACTTATTTCATTTCAAACTTCACATCTCCCTAGTAGGGCCCTACTATAGGTTATTTATCCTAATGAACTATATCAGCTAAATGTCCACAATAAGTGGGCGGTTTGGTCGGTTTCGATCATTTTCGGTTTATCGTCCCAGCTCTAGTGGGATATGTGTGTGTGTGTGTGTGTGTGTGGAGGTATGTGAGAGAGAAACCCCCTGGCTGTCCTACAGCTCTATAAATACTGTGTAATTCCTTTCTTCATTGTAACGTCTAATAGTCGATAATGGTGTGTATTTCTGTGA